GCTTTGGGAGTAACTTCGCCCAGGTTCGAACTCACTTTCTACGAGTTCCGTACGGGACACTCTTCCACCGGGAGGCTGGCTATCCAGTTGCTTCTCTTGCACCTCCTCGTTTGTACTATTTATCTAAAAACCTTGATTGCAACACCGACAAAAAATACTGCCCGGATTCGAACCCGGGACTGCAAAACTATAAGTTCAACATCTTAAGCACCTAGCTATCGCCACGTCTTACTCTTACATGGGACTTCAAATATATGAAGCTTCGTATTGTATATATTTTAAAAAAAAAGAGAGAGACACCGAAGATAAACTTCAGAATAAACTAAAAATTTGCCCAGCCGAAATTAAGACAATATGCCATTATTTTTCCACACCTAATAAAATTTTCCTTATCGTTGGGGTGGAATGCACGATCCCATAGGTAGGGCAAAAATTCTTTTTAGAACAACCTTTCCAGGGTCAACATCATAGACGTGGGACTTTCCATGTACGACGAGTTTCATTGAAAGAAATCTTTCGTTTTTATCAATTTTTTCCAAATATATTCACAATAATTCTGCAATCTTAGAAATTTCAATTTCTTCTTACAGGGAACGTGACAAAAATTGACAGTAGATTTTGTTTTCGGGACCACGCTTAATTTTAACAACACTGGATCTATAAACCGTCGAGGGCGTGGGAAAAATATACCGAGTGACAATGATAACTGTGATATTTTCAGGCGGTTATCAGCGTGTAAAATAACCGTAACCACATAACTGCATAACACCTATTTTTCTCTAACAAGATATTAACACCACTTATCCCGCAGTACTTTATTCTTCAGAATATATTTCGAGTCCTTACAAACCATACTGCAACATTAAAGGAATATCCTTATTTTGCTATGCTTTAAACGTGTTAACATAAAAATCTGCAAGCAACAATAAAAAATATAAACGCATCGATAACTAGACTGACCACAACACGAACTATTAATAGAACCAAAATACATTCAGACGACGACTTCGAGATATTTTTTGAATATGCATGAACGTTGAATACGCTATGTTCAAATATCGGTATGTCAGAATTAAAGCGAAAGAGAAGTCCTGTATTTTTTCATTAGTATGTGGTTTCAACAGTGATACATTCAAAGTTCTGCGTACGTTTCATTTGGGAAACAACTATAAGACAAGTGTTTTTATCTTGCTAAATATTTGCTCGCCTTTTGGTAAATCCAACCAGGCAAAACTTCAGCATTAATCTGATGGATAATCTGTCTTCTAGTTATCTGTCAAATATTTGAATGTTGAAATCGCCTACATCTTGATAACCGGAAAATACGCAAAACCCTTTATGGCAACAAACACTAACCTACTATCTATAAAAAACATGCACTTAAGAATACAAAATATTTCATGTACATGTATAAAAGCAAAATAAACTCCTGTTGCTTACACTCTCTCATATCATAGTAAAAAAGAGACATTACAAAATGTTTTGGCTATTGTATGAAATTCTATGTACAGATATGTTTCAGATATAAATTGTTTTGCAAATAAGGAATGTCAAAGGATTTTTTTCTGAAAAAAGCTACCATGGAAACGTTACGAGAAGTCTACATATACCTTTACAATTTTATGGTTAAAAACCTATTTTATACATGAATATTTGGTGTTCAAATAGTGAAACCAAACAGCAGTATAGTGAGAATTTTTATCTGAATACCAATTCTAGGATTAAGAGCTAAGAAACTATTCGAGTACACAGCTATATTTCAATTTCTTATTTCTTTCCGTTTCTGGGTATGTAAACCATACCTCGAATCCCACTGGTGGTAACTGGTAGTCGGTTTGATTATTTCCCAACAGTTACGAGAACTGCCCTGAAGCGTGTTTAGCACTTTATATTTGATTTTTTTTTTTTCGTCCTTATTTAATGTACTAAACTGTGACCCTGGTCAATGTATGATCTCCACTATTAATGTGCATAGCCAGAGTTCAGATCAGCGGTAGATGGGATGGGTGTTTCAGTTCATCTTGACAGTGACAGAGTATCTTTGTATCGTTCAATATCACCTTATAAAAAAACCCTGATTAAACCATTATTTTCACACGGGAATACAGTTGAATATGCGTATGGTCAAGAAAGACCTTCATGTGTACAATTTGAATTAAAAGGGGGGACCTCACGGGCTTCATATCAAAGTACAGAAAAATGCATTTTTGTTGATTTGGCGAATATGATCTCCATTCCAGTGAATCTATTTACAAATTGAAAGATTTGCTTTACAAACATTGCATATAAAAAGCAGGTTGTTTCTTGTTCATCCTAAAAATCTTCACAGCTAAATAGCCTTTAAAACTCTTGTGCAAAAAAAAGTGGTTCATTGGAAGCCTTTATTTTCACACAGTGGATTTTTTCGCTAAAATGAATAGAAAAAAGGTAGCCGAATACATTGTAGATGACACTTCATCAAAACCTAAATTGTACTTAGTTTGGGGCATGTGGCAAAAGTTGTTTTAAAAAACAAGCTCTGCAAAGTGCAATTAATAACATCAATACAAAAAAAACCTTCCCATTACACAGTGGCATATTGAGGAGAAAAATCTTTATGCACACTGTTCCTATTTATTTCGAAACTTGTTTCCATTTTCAGTCTCATTACTGAAGCAGCATCACAAACTGCTCTAATGCATCCCAATCACCCTCCAAACCATTATAAAATGTGTACGCATTATCAGTTCAGGACACTCTCCCAAATACACACCATGAATGGACTAATTATGTTGTATTTCATCCACACCATTTCAACAATCGCCCAAAACATACACCATAACTCATTAATTCACTTGCATACGATGTACTTTGAGATGTTCTGCGTGTTTACATAAGCTGCATATGCCAAAAGCTTGAGCTTCAGAGGATATCAAGCATGTGATTTAAAAAAAAACGTTTATGAATATGCAAAGCAAAACCTCACACAAGTGCAAGCCACACAGTTCCCTTAAAAAATGAAAGCAACATAAAGTAGGTCCGAGGTATCAAAATGGGACTTTTCTTTATGATCCGATCCATCCTCCGAACACCACTCAATTCTCCTTACATCTTGTCCTTAGTCACTAAAACATTTGTGTCTCCCTCAGCTTCAGTGGGGGAGTAAGCAGGGGTTGGGAGGCCAGTTTTCTCTGGGAGGGGGCCGGCCTGGGTCAGATCAGCCCCTAGGTCCACCTTGGTGGGCAGGGCTTCCGCCTGGGCCGTGGGAGTCACATTGTCATAGTTGCCCACTGCCTGCAGCTCAGGTGACTGCATGTTATAGACAGGGTTCTCAAAGTTGCCATCCTCACGCTTCTAGAATAAAATGGAGTTAAGGCAAAAGGGTTGTTCATTTCTAAAATCATTCTAAAAAATGTATGTATTGTATTTCAAGTTAACAAACAAAACCCCAGAAAGTCCAGCCCCCCCCCCCAAAAAAAAAAGCTGGGTAAAAATAACTGTATTAATACAAGCATAACTAGCTCTGACAAGGGTTACAGGAATTTTGGAATCTTATCTCTTTTTGGCCCGTTTTCTCCTTTTTGTTTAATGAATCATGCACAAACCTCCCTTCTTGAGTGTGGGAGCAAAATGTACATTATCAGCTTCAAAGTACATTTAAAAACTGTACTACAAATGAAAAGGGAGCATGAACTGCAACATGAAACTAACCAGTATTAATCATTCTTTTACGCACAGAAACTGCTTCATTTTGGGCAGAGCTTTTCATTTTGAAGGAGTTTATTCTAGGAGTGATAAAGCAGACTGTTGAGCTGTCAAGTTGTCACTATATAGGCTGTACCAGTATTGATACAGCTTTGAATTGAAATCTCACTGTTCTGGCAGAGTATATGATGACTTGACAAGGACTCATTCTGTTGGTATTCAGAGGGGTGATGACTGCTACTCACCCCTACCTCGACCACCCCAGTCCCATCGGTTGTGGGTGGATGAGCAGGCATTTCAATGTTAGCGCCACCACGATAGCTGACGGCACCATCTGCTCCAGACTTAGAAGTTCTAAACAAGTCAATGTATTGAACCAAAAGCAGCATGCCATTAATAGGGGAAACCTGATAACGTATACGTTTACAACCTCTTAACTTGTTTTCTGGTATGAACAAATTCCTCTGAAGCATGATTAAATGAGGTATGCATTTGGTGGTGCTTCATGTTCCTTCATTCCAAAAGTTATTTTCAGAATCACGCCCTCTTGCTGATAAATATTGAGCTGAGAATGTAGCCCTTGTAACTCAGCTCTAAGTTGAGAAGTGGCATAAGCTTAAAGGCAGTAGCCACAGATTGCATGCAGGAGCTCAGGGAGAGAAGATCATAAATTCCAGGAAGACTATTATTTGGTACAAAACCTCAAACAAACAATTTTCTATGCATTTCCTTTATATGCACAAACAAAATTGAAATAGGTGTCTCACCTATTTCTGTAGCGACGGATTAAGAAGAAGCCAAAGACAGCTCCGACAACCACAATGATTAGGACCACCACCACAATGGCAGCTGTTGCTCCCCCACCTTTGTGAATAATTCAAAAAAATTTGCTACGTTATTATTATATAATTGTGATTTTATTTCATTATCAGACAGGACCGCTTCAAATGGACTTCAGAGAATGACTTGCAGTTATGCAGAAATAGATATAGTTCTCAGTGATCGAGTCACAGGACAAAAATTATCTGCTTTGTTCTTGGAGATTGTTGTCTGTGTGGCAAAATTGGGCCAAGGTCCCAGGAACCAGCATTTTGACCGTCCCTCCACCATAAACACTCTGCTGACTTCCACAAACACAGCAAAGTTCCAAGGTAAGAATCACTGTAGCAATAAAAAAATTAAGGATAAATATGGATTTCCACTCCCAAATTAGGGGGTAGTTGTTAAATCATGTAGCATTTTTTTTACATTTTTTGTTAAACTTGAAGCACCTATATCCTGACTTGGAGCACCCTTAATATAGGCAAAAAAGAGACATGGTGGGAATTGTTGTTCTGAGTGACAAGCACACACTGGGAGACTAGCGCACACTTGGAGACCATAAATTCTGCATAAGTTGGGTTGTGGATGGATGGCTCCATGGATTCTCAGCCTTACGCACACAATTAGTTCCCACATAAGACCATTATTGCCACATGTATGTGACAGCATGCTGTCTCTTTCCCGCACAAGATTTTCTCCAACATTTGATTCATCTTTAACAAAATCACATTGTACATGTACTGACCCTGATTCTCTGTGAATGAAAAATGAAACTCAAATCTGAAGATTCACAACTGTGTTCAAGGACAAATCTGGATCAATGTAAAGGGAGGAAGATTTCTTACTTGGGCCACCATGTTTAAGTGGAGTACGTTTCTCGCATGTATCCCCTTCAAAGCCTGATGGACACCTTGAATGGACCAAACAAAAAACACAGTTCAGATTCACTATTCAGGTTTCACTACACAGTTAAGGTTTCTACATTACATCAGGGCACTTCAGACATACTGGATAATATCGAAAATGACTGATTTCCACAGAATTGACAGAGCCAAGCTACCTGCTGACTGACTGTTACTAGCAGTAAGTTGATCTGGGTGTGACATTGCACTTGTTTGCCTCAGTTTACACTGGCTGACTTGCAAACATGATCCGTCAATATACATCTGCAGGGTAACGTGGCACATCATGCTTTCCCCTAGTTCCTGATGATATACAGGGTTCTTGCCGAGTCTCTTAATACAAAGTATGTGGCAGTGGACCGTGTGTTGAACTGGAAGGTGGCCTCTGTGCATGGGTTGTCACTGCTGCAAGTATCAGCCCATGACAAGACTAAGATTGTTGTCAAATACAAAGCTTTGGTAAGGGGTGTGCAAAAATGTTCAAATGACTCCAGATTTATTTGAATTAAAAATTCTACTTCTTTGTTTCTTTTTCTAATTTAAAGAAAAGCATGTGTTCCTGACAGAAGTTTTTCGATTGGGAATACTTATCCGAGGAACAGTTTAGGAGCTGGACAAATGTTTGGTTTATAGTCTTTTTGAAAGGATGGTGTAAATTATCAATTATCAACACGTGACTTGATTTTCAAAAAAACCTCACAAGCTTACTAGTG